AGAGCAGAACCTCCCCCGCCAAGCTTACCCTGACAGCCTTACCCTGCTTGCATCTGCTGGGCACCCTTCCCCGGCCCACTGCTCCCCAGAGTCTGCCTAGCCCCCTTCCTTGACAGAGCCTGCTGAGGATTTCCAGAGGGCACTTAGAAGCCCAGGAAACATGAGCTTCTCAGCTATAAACAACGTTTCCATCTCCCACCCCCAATGCACACATCCTGTGATTTAGACCTTCCTGTGGGAAGGGGAGTGGAGCCCAGGCCCTACCCCTTCACTCAGGCTCAGGGGCCCAAACCTCTACTCCATGGCCCCTGGCTGGGCCCTCCACCTTCTGCTTTAGCTGGGCATTTCTGTCTCTGCCTTTCTCACATACACACACACATACACTCACAAATTTTGATGAATCCGGCTGAGCACGAAGGAGGGAAACAATACCCAAGGCTCAGCCAGTGTTTGCAATGTGGGACTCTCAAATATTTTATTTGCATCTCTTTTGCATATATTTGCATGAGCTCTTTTGGAAGCTCTCTATTTTCCCAAAGAACACAGAGAAGTAACGGATTTGTGGGCCCCAGGGGGCCCTGAAGCCTCAGTGAGGTTTCCAAATGCCTTGAGTGGATCTCAGGTTCTGTCCCAAAGTGCAGGAAGGAGAGGGGAACAGAGCACCAAGCCGAATGGGGGAGAGGGAGGCAGGCCCACACTTTGAATCCCACTGTCCTCTTTTCTACGAGCCTTGCTGGAAACAGTGAGAGGAAGCGATGTGGGCTGCTTCTAGGGCTGCAGAAGCAGACGCTGGATACCCCCTCTGCTCTCCATCCCCACCCTGCAGAGCTCTAACTCCAAAGTATCTCTTTGTGCATCTCTAAAGAGATGCCTTCCTACTGGCACACCCCACTGAGGGGACTGAGGCAGTGCTTTTCCAGTCTGCAAATAGCCTCACTGAGTGGGGTGGATACGCCCCTCCAGCTGCAGTCCCTTGTAGCCTTCTTCTCTGCAGGGGCCTGGATGGGAAGAGGGTTGCTGTCTTCCCAGCTCCCACCTCCTTGGCCCTGAGGGTGTATGGTCTGGCCTCCCCAGAGCCTAGTGAATCAGGCCCCACCCCACCCTGGGGCCATAAGATGCATCAGAGAAGCCTGAGCTTAGCTCACCTGGCAGAGCTTGATTGTCATATATGCAGAGGCAGGGCAGAGCCAGGCCTGTAGGGGCTGTGATCCTGCTGAGACCCCAGGGCATGGAGGTCCTGGGCCAATTTTAGGACTAGGGAGGTGGGATGAGTGGGCTGAACTGTACTAATTTGCCTCTGGCTTCTCCCGGCACCTTCTTTAACCACAGACTTGCCCACATCAGATGCTTGCCTGCCTCTGGACCTCTGATAATGAACACCTTTCTCTCTTTTGTTGCCTGGCTAACTCTACTCATCCTTGAACATCTGCCATGAGAGTTTCTTTCCCCAGGAAGCCTTCCCTGAACCTCAGGGTTGCTTTAAGTATCCCCCTGGCCTTTCCCAGTGCTGCTCCCTCAGAAAGTACTTGCCTATATATGCCTCTAGGCTGATCAGCTTGGAGCTTGGGGGCGGGGGGAGGAGGGTGGCCGGTAGAGCTGTGTCTTCTGCTCTCCACCACTCCTGGCAGGTTTGCAGCTGGGATCAAGTTCTCATAGAGGCAGGGCAGCCAGGCTGTAAGCTGAGATGAGGGGCAAGTGGAGAAGGGACAAGGCGAGGCTTCCTTCCTTCCCACACACGTTAAGTATGTATCTCATTATCTGCCATGAGAATAGGCGCTGCCCTTAGGAACACACATACCTACTCTAGGTATTCACAGGTGATGAAGCTGGGGCTCACCTGGATAAAGTGGCTTGCTCAAAGCACACAGGCCAGTAAGATCTGCTTGCATGGGCTGTATTGGGCCTGAGTGATGTCGGAAACCCCTGCTGCACGGCCCAGCACTGAAGAAGAGAGCCGAATGAACTGGCCTCTTAAGGGCCTGAAGGTCTGGATTTGAGCATCTAGATGTCCACAAGCTGAGATTCCAACAACTGAAAGCCCCCTTTCCCCCAGCCTCCCACCTGCTCCAGGGCAAGGCAAGTGTCTTCTCTCTCACCAGCCCAACCCACTCCCAGTTCAGCTGCAGAAACTGCCAAACGTCTCTCTGGAACCCAAACAGGAAGCCAGGGAGGGGGCGGCCAACGGGCTGCCCACCCTGCAGCCTCACCGGCACTGGGGGCCTGCCACTGGCCCTGAGCATCCCCACCCCACCTCCCTGGGGAAACAGTGTCCTCTTATGGAAGACACTGTAGAAAAGGCCTTTGGAACCCTTGTCGTTGGGTCACTTTGTTTTGTCGTAGACTTTATTTTTTTTTAGAGCAGTTTTAGGCTCACAGCAAAATTGAGTAGAAAGTACATATATTTCCCATTATACCCCCTGCTTCCCACCACAAACAACTCCTACATTACCAACATCCCTCACCAGAGTGGTACATTTGTTAGAACTGATGAACTTACACTGACACAATTATTACCCAAAGTCCATAGTTCACATTAGAGTTCACTCCTGGTGGTGTACATTCTATGGGTTTGGGAAAATGTATAATGATGTATCCACTAAGGTAGTATCGTACAGAACAGTTTTACTTCTCCTCAAATCCTCTATGCTCTGCGTATTCATCCATCTCTCCTCTTTAACAGCCGGCATCCACTATCTTTCTACTGTCTCCATAGTTTTACCTTTTCTAGAATGTCATATAGTTGGAATCATACAGTATGTGGTCTTTTCTGATTGACTTAGTAATATGCATTTAAGTTTCCCCTATGTTTTTCCAAGGCCGGATAGCTCATTTCCTTTTAGCACTAAATATTTTGTTATCGGAATATACCACAGTTTATTTATTCATTCACCTACTGAAGGACATCTTGGTTGCTTCCAAGTTTTAGCAATTATGAATAAAGCTGCTATAAACATCTGTGTGAAGGTTTTTGTGTAGTCATGTTATTTGGAATGAGTTATACCAGGGAGCACAATTGCTAGATCATAAATAGTATGTTTAGTTTTGTAAAAAACCTCCAAACTGCCTTCCAAAGTGGCTATATCATTTTGCATCCCCACCAGCAATGAATGAGAGTAACTGTTTCTCTACATCCTCTCCAGCATTTGGTGGTGTCAGTATTTTGGATTTTTGCCATTCTAATAGGTGTACAGTGGTATCTTATTGTTCTTTTAATTCACAGTTCCTAATGATATATGATGTTCAGCTGGGTCTTTCTTTTTTTCAAGTGATTCTGAGATCATATTAACTTCATTTCTTATCAGCCTACCATTGAGGGTCAAGCAACCAGGATGAAGGTATGTCTGAATTTTAGGCTCTGTTCTGTCTTTGACTCGCCATTGGCCTTAGCAAGTCACTTACCAACATGGACCTCAGTTTCTCAGCCTGTGAAATGGAGCTCACAGTACTTGTTCCACTTGAGGGGTTGTGGGGGTGTCTCTGTCCACTAAGATGTGGGTCATGGCTTGGCATGTGGTCAGTGGTGAGTGAAGCCAAGGACCACAGGCTGCCTCACCCTGGTGCTGGCCCAGCAGTGACTGCAAACTAGGGAGCTCCACAGCCCATGACTGTAGAGAGAGTCAGGGCATCACCTCTCCAACCATGCATCCCCCGGCAGATCCCCAGCCCCTCCAGGACTGGCCAGTGGGGTATGATTCCTGTCCATGCATTGGCCGTAGGGATGTAGGAGATGAAAGGACAAGAGAACAGGACTAGGCAGAGAGCACTTGGCCACAGAACATGCTCCACCAGCTTCCCAGGGCAGACTGGGACCAGAGGATCAGGAAGCTGGACAAGCAGTGGTAAGACATGCAAACTGCAGGCAAAGCTCAGGCAAAGGGAGTTCCTGATTCTCGACCCCATAGGAAAAAAGCCTGGGCTCTGGGAGACAGGGCTTCAAGACTTGAGAGCTAGCCTGGGCTCCTCCAAAGCCTCCTGTGCCAGCTGGGGGAGGCGGAGGAAAGATTGGCAAGTCAGGACCCTCCTCACTTCGCATCCCCTTTCTGGGATCCATGGTCCTCTAGCCTCTTGCTCTCAGTCAAGCCCTGCCCTCAACAGCAAGACTCAATGACACCACGCCCCCTCTCCCACCGACTTTCATTACATCTTTCTTTTTGATATTACAAGAGTAGAATGGTTCATAATCCCTAGTGCCCAGATAACAGCTGCTGCCATTAAAATAATAATAACATGTGTACATGGTAGGAAAGTCAAACAAAAGAGAAAGGTTTAAAATAAAAGTAAAACTCTCCCCCACTTTACCCTTTTTCAAATTCTGTGTGAAGGTAACCAGTTAACAGTTTCTTCTGTTGCCTGCCAGAAAAAAATGTTATGCCCACACTAGCACATGTGTATGTGTATCTGTTAAAGAGAATGTGCAGGAAAAGAGGTTGTGTTGTAACAACCTTCCCTTGCTCATTTAACTTAACCTCACAACCTGGACGTCCCTCTGATCAGCATGTGAAGACCCAGCCCATTCTTGGGCCCCGTGGAATCTGCCATTTCACGGGTGTGCTGTGGTGGGACTGGTTCCCTGCAAACCTGCCTCTACGTGGTGTCCAGTCTCTTTTTTTAGAGCATTTTAAATGCTTGCTTACCTTTTTCCCACTCTCCCAGGTCACTACAGGACCGGAATTTTTCCAGCTGACCTCCAAGCTCAGAAAGTAAAGTTACAATTAACCCAATTCTGGCAGAGGGCGGGCCTGGAGGCAGGGAGGCCTGGTGGCCTGGGGCAAGGCATGCACTTTCCCTGAACCTCTGTTTCTGCCCCTGTAACACTGGGGAACTCTCTCTTGAAGTGGAGGTAGATATTTTTAAAAGACAGTGTGGTCTAATAAATGAGCTTCCTATACCCTTCTGGAACTCGGACGCCATTTGATGAAACAAAATTTCCCCTTGGACCTCCAGGGAACAGGGGAATAATGCATGAGGAAACAGAAGCACAGAGAGATTGAGAAACTTACCTGAGGCCGCACAGCTGATAAGTGGGAAAACTGAGATAGAACCAGTCAGTCAGTTTCCAGATCTGTGCTCTGGAATTCCAGGTGGCCAGCAATTGCTGTGGGAAGGCACGACCATGCTGGAGTGTCCAGGGACTGGAGGGCTGGAGGAAGCTGGGCAGAGAAGGAGCAGGTGAATAGGGGCCAAGAGAGGCAAAGAGACCTTCCAGACTGAACAAGGGGTGAGAGTTCACACCCTGCCCTCCACTCAGGGCAGGCTGAGGGGATCTCAAGCCCCTCTGCATCCCTCCTCCTCTGAGTCCCAGTGCCAGGCAGGCTCCCTGTGGACAGTGACTTCACCAGAAGGAGTAACCGCAGGAATGTTTACAGGGATGGTGCCCAAGTGGAGAGAGAGGGAGGCCCTGACTTTGTTTTCTCATTGTGTACCAGGTGTGGTATATTTTCTGTCATTTAATCCTTGTATAATAGATCCTTTTACTGCTGAGGGAGGCCAGCCATTATAGTTCTTGGACCTTCCTCTAGCCCTGAGGGTGGGTGACGGCATGGGCCAAGTGCTGCAGGTCTTCACAGGCCAGAGTGAGCGGGCAAGATGCTTCCTCTGGGGGTGGGGAGATGACAACAGAGCCAGCTGAAGGCCACCTCTCCCTCTCCCCTGGGCTCCCCCTTCCTTCCTGCTGCCCTGCCCTGTCTTCGACTTTGGCCAGGACCACATCTGTCTCCTGAGTCATCTTTGCTTTCTAGCTTTCTGGATTTTGCTGTCTCCCTGGTTTGGATTTCCACCTCGGTGAAGAGAATTTTCTCTCTCTCCCGCCCTCCCGTACACTCATAATGACACACAGGCTGCTTGGTGACAACATGTGCAAAGGCCTCTCAGGGAAGGACCCCAAGGGCAAAGGGACCCTGAACCTCCCAGCCCACTGGAAGCCCCCAAGGCAAGCCTTGGCTGCAGGGTCCCTGGATTTCCTGGGGCTGAGCAGCCCACCCAGGTTACAAGAAGCCTCTTGCTTCATCGGCATGCTCCCCTGCCACAGGCCTTGGTTGGTTGAAGTTGGAGCAAAAGGCTCCAGCAGTCAAAAGAGGAAAGTATAGGCCTTATCTCCTGCCTTTGGATAAACCATAGGTATCAGGAGCCTCAACCTCCCAAGCCTTGGACTATCCCCACGCCTGCTTCCTACACAGCCCCAGGCAGCTGGCCTGCCCACCCACCTTCTTCCTCTGAAATCGACCTGAGCTAAGAGAAGAACAACTTAGCTGGGCACCATCTGCACTGTGATGAGGTCAGAGAGGAGAGGCTGCGCCATGGGCAAGTGTAATCCTGAAAGCCTTTCTGCAAGAAGTGGCATGATACAGCCAAACAAAGGCTTTGGGAGAACACTGCTGGCAGGGACATAACAGGGCAGGAATAAAGACACCTGGCGTGAGTGTACAATTGGCAGGAGGGAGGAGATAATGCAATCGTTCCTTCGAGTATTCGTTAAGCGCCTCCTATGTGCCAAGCTCTGTTCTAAGCACTGGGGACACAGTAAAGCAGACCAACAAGAAAAGATTCCTGGAGCTAACGTTTTATTGGGAAGGTGGTAGGGTTGGCATTACTCAAAGGGTCTAAAGCTCAAGTGAATGAGGATGGGAGGAAGGACCCATCCCACTGGCCCCTCGCCCTGTGAGAGGCATGCCTATGGAGGCCTGGAAAACCTGTCTCCAAGTAATTGCAGCCTGTGCCCTCGTGTCTTCCTCCTTTAAGGGTCAGGATAGCACTGATACTCACCTCCTCCTGAAAAGTCCTCCCTGATTAACTCCTCCCCTCACTGGGGTGGGAAAATGCAGGTGCCCATCTTTCTTAGAAGACACTGTCCTCTAGCTAATCAAAAACTTTTTTAAAGTCTAGAAAGATATCTTCCTTCAATTGACCCTACCACATCTACTCACATTGTTATGGATGAAAAATGCTGGCCTGTCTTGGTAAGGGTCTGGGCTAGGAATCAGTAATTTGCAGTTGCAGTCCAAACACTGCAAGATCTCAGGAAAGGTGTTTCTCTGGGCCTCAGATTCCTTACCTGTGAAACAGGGAATGAGGCTTACCTAGCAATTCCAGTGAATGGGATCCAAGCCAGTCACTGAGCCAAGCCTGCCATACACAGTGTTATGTGTAATCCTCAGTAATCTTGTGAAGAAGACACAATGGCCATTCCCGAATTTTGCAGATGAAGAAACTGAGGTTCATGAGTTGCCTACAAACATATGGTTGTGTAACTCCAAAAACCCCTGTTCTTAACATATCACTCTATTGTTCTGAGTAAAAGATTCTATTCCATTCTGTTCAACCAGTTACACAGTCAAATAGCAGTTAAAAGGCACCAACTACATGCCGGCCACTGAGTAAGCCACAGCCTTTTTAGGAGCATCTGTGGGTGCCCAGCTGGCTGTACATTAGGGAAGGTGGGAGGTGAAACAACTCCTGCTCTCTAAGAGCCTGGAAGTGCGGGGCTTAGCCATGGGAGGTTATGAATAAGGCTCTGCCACCAGAATCTTTTAGGTGTAGCTGTGTAGTAATGGGTAGCTCATTGATGCTCTCCCTGCTTGGGTTCTTGGCTATGTAATAAGGGTAAGAACTCTACCTTCTAGGTTTTGGGCAAGGATGATATGTGATAATGAGAGCACCTCGAGGGACTGGGTTTGGCAGAGAATGTACTGCATAAGTTCTGGCCATTATTATTTAAATGGACAATTAGAAAACACAGGATGATTGTACATGGCCAGATGTCAGGCTATATGTCCAAAGATGCCTCAGAAGTTTAGAGCAGAGAGAAAGGACTATTGCCTGGAGCAGACAGGGGAGGCTTCTGGAAGAGAGAGCCTTGGGTCTGGTGCTAAAGGGCGGAGCATCTGGGAGTTAGCTGGTAGGCAGGTGTCTGGGCTGGGTATGAGGTGTTAGGGGCAGGGAGGAGGTATACCTTTGCACCCTGAAGCCACACAAAGATGGGAGCAGGTGAGCAGTGAGACCACACTGGTTCGCTGCAGGGCAATGGTAGGTAGAGACTTCTGGGCATTAAATAGAGGACAGCTCTGTGGGTGAGGAAGGCTGCATGCCTCATCTGTGGACAGATGCACGGCCTATGGCACACCCAGGAGAAGCCCAGGTAGACCCTGCTAGACTCTTCTCTCTGTTCTGTCTTTTAGGTCAGGATCAAGAGCTGTATTCAGTCCTTGTAGAGTTTTTATGACCCCTGGCCTCAGCCTCCTGGGCCTCTATTATCACTACCTCCAGGCCAGCCCACAGGGCTGAAGGTGGTGGGAATTGGGGACCAGAAGAGCTGCATTGTGGAGGGCCAGGGGAAGGCCCAGAATATGTTTACATTTCCCTCCTTTCCTTCTGGTGGCCCAGCCAAGCGGCGGTTACACCACTGCGGTTTGTTGGCCCCAGGGAGTGCCTCCATTACATAACGCCTGACACAACCGCCCCCTAAAACACACACGCACACTGGCAAACAGTCACTCCTGTGTGTGCATGCGCGCGCGTGCCCACACGCACACTCACACACTCACACACACACTCACCTACATGTTTTCACAGAGACGCATCCACACAGTCTCACCCCCTCGGCTGGCAACACTATTGTCTCAGGAGGATTTCTGCTGCCACCACCAACAGTCACATTTTTAGTGGGAGAATCTTTCCACTTCCTTGCCCGCAAGACCCAGGTACCCTTGAGCGTGGTGGGACTGACCCAGGCCTGCCTGGGGCCCCAGGGGGCAGCCGCAGTCTTTGGCAACAGCCCAGGTAGTGGACAAACGTGGGCTGCTCTCTAAGAGCCTGGAGGTGGGGAAGATGGGGCTTCGCCATGGGAAGGCTGGGGAATAGGACAAGAAGACAGAAAGACTAGCACCCAGGAGGCAGCCCCTGTTATGTGAACTCCAGAAACTCAGAACAGACATATAAGGAACAAACAGGAATAGACATGGCCTCTGAGGCACAGGGGGAAGTGGAGGGTGAATATTTAGTGCAACTATTTGGGAGGGTTCCTAGAATGGCTGGTTTCAAGGTTTTAAATGCAAGCTACCTCCACAGAAACATGGGAGCTGCCCCGCAACTCAGCAGTGCTGCCTCTAGGGATTGATCTGATGGAAACACTCACCCAAGGGTCTGTGTATAAGGACGTGCATAAAAGTGAAATAGTGCAGAGCCTTGGCGGCCATCATATATGGAATACCACGCCGCCATTAAAAGAAGGTGCTGGCACGCTGCGTGGAGAGAGAGTGCGGATGGACAGGAGGTACAGCACGACGCCACTTAGTGAACTGAAACCATATACGAATGTGTGTGTGTGTGTGTGTGTGTGTGTGTGTGTGTGTGTGTGCGTAGATATTTATAGATAGAGCTGCACAATCACATCTCAGGAACTCCTTACACAGAGCAGTTACTGAATGGACAGGAGGAAGGTTGGGCGGGGCAGGGGGCGCTTTTTCATTTGTACATATTGAAATTCAATGTCTACGGTTTGAATATTCAGAACAAGCCTGAATAGGTTTGGAATAAGAGGATAAACTCCGCTAGAGACCATGTCTACCGAGGAGCAGTGCCTCTCTTCCCCCTTCTGAACAGACGGGGCTCTCTGCCCTTGCATGGGGTGAGGTGGCTCCGTGGCCCCACCGTTCATGAGCTGGGAGACCTTGGGCAAGTGTCTTCATTTCTCTGAGCTCCATTTTCCACATCTGTCAAATGGGAGAGAACAGTACCACTCTCATAGGGGTTCTGGTTTTGTTGCACAAAGTTATTGAGGGCCTTCTATGAGCTAGGTTGGAGCACGCAAGGAGGAACATGATGGCTCTTGCTTTGAAGGAATTTCCAGGCTAGAGAGGAAGATGTAAGTATAGGACAATGTGCTTTGTGCTCCTTCAAAGGCCTGGGGGGCTGGGGCTGGGTGGGTGGGCAGGCTAGATCTGAGGTTGCATTTAGCTGAGGCTGAGGAAGCAGGGGGTTGTCAGGAGAGCTCCAGGGCAGTTGAGGAGTGGTGAGCATCAAGGCTGAGGACATGTTTGGAAGCTTGGATTTGAACTGGGGGTGAGGGCACCCTTCGGAGTCTTCAGGCAAGAGGGGCATGGTTGCCTAGGTGTCTCTGAGGAATGGTGGTTGGGAGGAAGAGCAGCTGGGCTCCTGGTTCATCTGCTGTCCAGGTGAGAGGGGGAACCTGAGTTGCTGAGGTGGTAAAGACAGAGAGGGGGCAGCATCTAGGCATGGTTAGAAAGCAGAGATATTAGGTTCTGGAAGCCCAGAGGAAAGGAGTAGAGGGAAGCTAGAGAAAGACTTCAGGAGGATGTCATGCGCTGGTGTGGGTGACCGGATGGATGTGATGCCACAGCTGTGGAGATGAGGGACGAAGGGGCTTGGAATGAGGGTCTACGTCTAGGTGTGAGGAGGTAGGTCTCAGGCTGTCGGACGGGGCTGTGAAGTGCCACACGGTGGGCAGTCCCTTTTTTCCTCCTCTACTGGCGCTTACAATCTGCCAGCGTGGTAGCTTTGGAATATATTGGACTCCCTTGGCTTGTGAGGGAAGAGTCGTCAAGGGCACCACGGTTGTGTCCTAGGACTTGCTTTGGAAAAGGACAGCACTTCAAGGGTCAGATGATAGAAGTTTCTTTCTTTACAGTTCTTTGCATTTTAATAGAACACTTGAGAATAGCACTGTGGTCCAAGAGAACTTTCTGCAATGATGGAGATAGCAGCTTTTAACTTCATGTGGGTATTGAGCACTTGAAATGTGGCTGGTGCAACTGAGGAAGTGAGTTTTAAATTTTGTTTAATTTAAATTAAATTTAAATAGTCACGTGTGGCTAGTGCCTACCATATTGGACAGCACAGCTGTATCTAAAATTTCCAAAGGAAAGCAGTTGCCATTCTCATCTTAAGGCCCTTGGTTGAGGGCAGAATAGGGGATTTTCTTGACTCTCCTCAGATCAGGTACCTATTGATGAGGTGTGAAGCTTAGCGTCTAAGAAGGAAGGACAATATATACAAACATAAACAAAGGAATTTGAAATATGTCAGGGGATGACAAATGCTAGGGAAAATAAAGCAGGACAAGAGAGAAGGAATGCCAAGTGAGGCTGTTGTTTTAGAGAGGGTGGCCTGGTGGCCCCTGAAAAGATGACACTGAGCAGGAAATTGAAGGAAACAGACATGTAGAAGAGCATGACAAAGAGAATAGCAAGTGCGAAGGCCCTGAGACAGACAGCAAGCCCGGCATGATTAAGGACAGCAAGGAGGCCTGTGTGGGTTAGAGCAGGATGAGGGAAAGGTTGTCAAGGTCAGACAGGAAGGGGCTGGTGGGAGGGGAGGGAGGGTCTTACAGACAATGTGGGACCTCGTAGGCCTTGCTAAGATTTTAGATTTCATTCTGAGTGGATTTTGAGTGAAAGGTAACCTGAACTAATCATGTTTTAAAGCACAATTGTGAAAATATGCTATAGACAGTGTGGGCGTAAGGCAGGTGGAGTGGAGTCTGAGAGGTAGCCTGAGGCGATTTGAAGGAATAACACCTTAGATCACTTTGAATTCTGCTTCGGCCTTTTCCTAGCTGCTTGGCCTTGGGCATAAACTTCTCTGAGCTCAGTTCCTTGCCTTTGAAATGGGGTAACAGTCCCTCAGTCTTGGGTAGGTATAAAGACTGTTATTAATATACATAAAGCTTTAGTACCTAATAGGCCTTCCATAAATAGTTGCTGTTAGAATCCTTAAGACATTCCAACCAGAAGACCTGTGGGCATGAGCTGTGGGAGGAGGGTGAGTGAAAGATGAGGAAGCAAAATGGTAGTAATAATAACAGCCAGCTAATTCTCGTTGAATACTTAACACCTCTAGGCACTGGGTAAAGCATTTTGCAAACAGTATCTCACTTAGTCTTTACAACAAAAACAAGGACAATAGATTAATCCATTTTTTCAAATGAAGAAACTGAGGCTCAAAGAGACAGTGAATTGCGCTCCAGGCCACACAATGGGTTAATTGACAACCACTTGGACCCATTCCCCACCTCTGACTCCAGAGTCGCAGTTCTTTCCCACTGGTGATAACCTACTGGCCTCTACAGCGAAAGGTCCAAATGAGTCCCCCTCTCAGGGGTGTTTACATTTTTAAGGGGGCTCTGAGGGAAGTTTTTTTTTTTCATTGAAAATGTTTAACCAAAATATAGAAAATTTCAAAGGATCACATAAGAGAGCATTATAAAAGTCACCAAACCAAAAGTATCATGCTCTAATGGAGGAATTGGTGGCGGGCAGAGGGCAGGCTAAGTCCACTGCCCCAGCCCCATCCTGTGCCCCTTTGCTCTGTTCTCCACTCCCAGGCAATGTATTCATCTTTCCCTTCCTCTCTGGGGCCATGCTGTCTCTAACCACAGGGCCTTTGCACTGGCTGCTCTTCTTTAAAAAATTAAAGTATAGTTGACATATAATATTATATTAGTTTCGGGTATAGAACATAGTGATTCAACCTCTATATACCTTACAAAGTGATGACTACAATTCCAGTAACCTTCAAAAAATATGAAGTGCTTCATGAATTTGCGTGTCTTCCTTATGCAGGGACCATGTTGACTTTCTCTGTATTATTCCAAGTTTAGTCTATATGCTGCTGAGATGAACACCCAGCTGCTCTTTTTACTTGGAAAATTCACTGGCCCTTTGCCTTACTGTTACTTACCCTTTACCCTTCTTTAGAAACTTCCTGGACCCTAAGTGAGGTCAGTTTCTCTGACAGGGGCTCTCTCATACCCTGTCCTCTTTCATACCCTGGATTTCAGCTTGAGTATACTTTTTTTTTTAAAATTAAGATATAATTCACATACATTTAAATTCACCAGATTAAAGTATACAAATGTACAAATTTTAGTATACTCTTGAGGTTTTATAACTACCACCACTATCTAATTCCAGAATATTTTCACCAACCCAAAAAGAAACACTATATCTATCACCAGTCTTTCCCATTCATCCTTTATCCCCTGGTCACCACTAATCTACTTTTTGTCTCTGTGGATTTGCCTATTCTGGACATTTCATGTAAGTGGAATCATACCATATGTGGTCTTTTGTGTCTGCCTTCTTTCATATAACATGATGTTTTTAAGGTTCATCCATGTTGTACTATGAATCAGCACTTCCTTGCTTTCTATGACTAAATACTATTCCATTTCACGGATATATCGCGTTTTGTTTATTTATGCATCTGTTGATGGATATTTGGATCGTTTCCACTTTGTGGCTATCGTGAACAATTGTACATATTTTTAATGTGAACAAAATAGGACATGCATCAAGCTGAGCAGGGGAAACGGACTTTAATAAAATAGTTACAAAAACCAGTGTATCACTTTGGAAAACAGTACTGGTAGTCCTCAAAAAGTTAAGCGGTAGTTACCATGTCCTCTGGCAATTCTACTTCTAGGTATATAACCAAAAGAACTGAAAAATATATGTCCATACAAAAACTTGTACATGGATATTCATAGCAGCATTGTTCAACAATAGCCAAATGTCCATCAACTGATGAACGAATAAACACAATGTGGTATGTCCATACAAGGGAATATTATCCTGCCATACCAAAGAGTGAAGGCCGATTCAAGCTACATCATGAGTGAACCTTGAAAACAGGTACACTCCATGAAGGCATGGATGACATCGGTCAGCTCACCTTTTACCCCTATGCAGAGTTTTACTAGATGATCAAGAACTGTCTGCGGGATGAATGAAAGGTTCTGCCAGTAGTCCCAGCATTCCCAGCATCCACCACTTTGATGTCTAGACTGAATCCCAGGGCAGTGAGGGGGACCTGCTAACAAGTCTGAATCTCACCAAGTCTGGCCCTCAGTCATACATGCCTCCTGCCCTGTAGCATCCCTGATTTCCATTTTCCCAATGTGTTACTTTAGGGTCTGGGCATCCAGTAGGTGCTCAATAAAGTCCCAGCAGATTGACCCGACTGGACATGAAGCTTCAATAGTAGCCAGGCCAGGAAGAGACAATCTGGTGGCATAGCATCACCTGCCACATACCTTAACTGAGTTCCCCACTCTTGAAGTGCACCCCTTCTCGGCTCAGGGGTGCAGGGAATGAAACAGTAGGCTCCCAATGACCCACAGCACCTTCTCAAGTGGCACAGGGCTCAGAGAATGCCCTGCAAGCAGCCTCTCACTCCTGTAACCACAGGAGTGGTGGGATCTGGTAGCAAGGCCCTTGGCCTGCATTTCAAAGGGTTCCCTTCTCCTGATAAAATTGGCACTGGGCCCAATGGAGGGGTCACAGGCCACCCCACAGCAGGGGCCTGGCCTCCTGTAGAGGGGGTCACTGGGAATTGTGTGTTTCATCAAATATTGCTGGGCCAGGGAGTTTTATTTGAAAATAATTTTAATTAGCCGGAAACTAGGAGTTTAATAAATGGAAAATGGAGAACTTTCCAAGGCCACAGCTGGGAAACACTTGCTTTTTTAAAAATTCCACCTTGCTTCCCAGGCCAGCTAAAGCACCCTGACATGAGGGCCCGACTGCCAAAGGAATCCACAAGGAAAACAAAGCTTATTTTTAGAGAAATATTTTAAACTCCGTTTAAGCAAGCTTAGGAGTTTTCTTGTCTGCCTAAAATCGTTAATATATTTCTATTTCAGAGCTGCCCCTCACCCCAGAGGGCACAAGAACTCCTATCTGACAAGAGCTATTTCTGCACAGATGAAAAAAATGGGCCCCTTCCCCCTCCAACCAGAGAATTAACTGTTTCTAAATATGTCCCTGCCGTCAGGCCCAGGAGGCCTGTCCTTGGCAGGTGTGCCCCACAGTAAGGTGGGTATAGGGTCCCTGCAGGTCTGAAGGCTTGTCTGCCACCCTCCCACTCAGCCTGTTCTGCCCACTGCCCTGCAGGAAGCGGATGACAGCCCGGCCATCATTTCCGGGTTTTGAAAGCAGTTTTCAACTTGAAAGAGGCCTGCTAAAAAGGGCTGCTTTTCCTCTGTAGGTGTTGTTAACACCCCCACCCCCACACAGACACACTCCCACCTACACAGACACATCTAGACCCAAACATACAGCAACACTGGCAGATCCTTCCTCATGTCCCACAGACCCATGCACCTATCCATGCGGCATCGGCTACACAGGCACACCCACTCACAGCAACAGGCACACTCAAACCCACACATGGATTTCTACACTTATCCACAGACTCTCTCACCCTGCAGACGTACATGCACACCCCACACATATCAATAGCCACCTAGGTCCACACCCCCCCAGACAGCCCCACAGACCAGTACTCCCCACAGAAACACCATACATAGACACCTGAGTACCTGCACACATAATACACATGAACATGTGCACACCCACCTAGATAGACAAAAACACAGATACACATATACACCCCTCCCCATGGACACACCCCCACAGACCTTCAACACACACAGACACACCCTTAGACATATACATACTCATAGGCTTTCCAGGGCTAGCAAAATCCGTCAGGAGAGGATGGAAGGCCCCACCTAGGCAGGGTTGGGCCCTGGAGGTACTGTGGCTTTTTGCTGCCCAGGTCCCCACCTACCTCCTTCCTGCAGGGCTCCTTCAGCAGCCAGGGCTTGGTTCCTCCCTGCTCCCCCTGCCCCCCCTCCACCCTGCCCTGGCCCCACTGTCCTTGGCCTTGCCAGCAGCATGGAACTGGATCTGCCCTGGATGGCCACAGGTCTGCACATCCCTGGAGTGTGAACAAGAAAAACTAAACATAATTAAATGAGGTAACAACAATGGAGAGTGGATATATAGGCCAACAATGGAAGGTAAACCTGGCTATGGGCTGTGTTGACTCCCACTAATTCATAAGGCCAAGGAAGGCACAGAGACCCAACTTCTGCTTTCAAGAAGACACAGAGTCACATCTGCCCTCATTCTTGTCACCACAAGCAAAACAGGAGAGCAAATGCATGAGGATGATTCCATTCCAGGTTCAAAGGCACTCTAGCATGCTTCCCTGTACACACTCAGCTTGGGGATTTTTCTGAGACCTCCCCAGGCAGATCTTAACATTGAGCATCCTAGTGCTGGGCCAGACCTGCAGCTAAGAGCTATGCCTGTTTTTCCTAACTGCACTGGGCCCTCTCAGGCCTGGCCCCTTCATCTGGGTCCCTGAACTGCTGCAGAGTTTACAATCCTCCATTTCCATGGGTGGGTGCAGAGCTTTGGCCTCCTCAATAGTTATTTTGTGCGCCACCGCCCCCCCTGTGCCCCCCCCGCCCCCCGCTTATGCGCTCAGCAGTAGACTCAGACAAAGTGAGTGGTAGAAAATATGTATGCATCCCTTCTCTGAAATAATTTAGAAAGTGGTGCACACTAATTGGGTTGCTTAAAAAACACTTCAGTTTTCAAACAGCCTGTGGAAATGCCTCTGTTAAGATATTCTAAATGCTATCACATTCTGGACTCATTTATACTACAGACTACAAAAGAATTTTATCCTGAATGTAATGCAGTTTTGGAACCAGAGTCAGTTTTAGTTCCGCTCCCCAGCCCCTGAAAGGAATCCTGGCTTGTCCTTACTTGCAATTTTTTACTTCTTGTTCCCCTAATTTAAACAAAAACTTTGTTAAGGGTGATCAAGCAATAGCAGAGAGTTTTGTTTGTAAATTCCAGCTGCTGCAGAGACAATGACCTACATACCCTCCATTGATCTGCAGCAAGGAAATTTCTGAATGACTCCCCCAGCTTTCCACTCTCCACTGGGTCTAAAATACAAAACGCCCTTAGAAGTTGGGCTTGCAAACAAACCAATTTTAAAAAATGAATGTGGCTTACCCCAAAAAGAAGTCTGACATTCCAGCTGATCAAAAAGTACTTGTTTAAGAAAAATAAGTTTTGGAATGAAGTGGAAACAAGGCCTTTGAAATGCAGCCTGGCCTAAATAGCAACACGTTTTAGACTTTTCCTCCCCATTGTACATTCTTTATGGTGAAGAGGCCAAGGAGCCTGCAGGGTCTTCCAGGCCCAGCCCTCCTTGCCCTCGGATTTCCCCTCCCCCACCGCTGAGGCCCTCAGCCAGGGGCCAGGAATCTGGGAGAACTTTGAAACTGTTGCCCATTCCCTTTGGCAGCATGGACCAAGCACCAAAATGCTCCAGCTAACACCAGCACAATCATCCTTAACTTGAAACAGCTGCCTGAAGCCTGGCGGGACTCTGCAGACTAACCCCCACCGTGCCTAGCTCAGCTGCTTGACACAGGAGACCCCAGCTAGGCAGGGAGAAGGGATGTAAGTATTGGTTGATAGAGCCCAGCTGCTGTAGATAAGAAAACAAATTATTGCTAAATCTCTTACTTTGGAAAGTGTGTCTGGGTGGTGAGCATGGATTTGTCAACCTGCTTTTTAAATTTTTAAAGTGATTTGTAGGAAATAAACCATACTCAAGTTTTGTTCAACTGTGTTGAGAATCAGCTTTTTTGAAATTGCTTTTTTCTGCCTTTTTCTAGAGACCTGGGTTGAATTTGCTTTCTGGCTAGTTGTCTAAAAGAAGACAGTAATCCTTTCGCATAAATAGGGTGTGTGCTCACTCCCAGAGGAAGCTGTCCACGTAAACAAACATTACCCAGATATGTTTAACCTGTTT